TTTTTTTCCAATATTAAAACTCATATGATAATGTTCCGAAGAGAACGTAGAGGCCAAAACTGGTGAAGAAAATGGTACTTGTCTATAAAGAAATGTGTTTTTTAACGAAAATTTCTTCTGTGAATTTTTGGTATTTTACGATCGTCGGAAAGAGTTTTTTTAAATAAGCCCATAGGAAAAGGATCGAAGCAAAGAGTGTAGATATTTACATTTGTTAATCGAAGTCACGTGATTCACGTTAAAAAAATTATTTCCGATAGAAAATTTCTCACAAATGTAAATTAATAGAATAGTATACTAATTTTTCTTTTTTGTAGGGTCAATAATGATGGGGGGAAAAGGTTGAAATAATGTTTACTGGGCGTGGATCTATTGGGATTCATCTGTTTTTACAGCTTTGGTTTCAGTCTTATTATAAATTTTCTCTCGTAATTTTTTTTCCTACAAAATGTTTTGATTAATTTTAGTTAGGTCCACCATAGTCTAGTTTTAGGTTAGACATAGGAATGGGTTTGTTCTTCTTTTGTTTTATTTTATTTATTTGATTTTATGCATTAGACTAGGATAAACTCTGTTATGGGGATGCGTCTTGATTTGCAAGTTACGCTCCAGGTATCTTGTACACTACAGGGTTTTAGCCCAACAGTAATAAGATGCGTTACAGTTTTTAAAAAAAAAAAGATAACCTAGTGAAATATTTAACAAATAAAATTGATTGCAAATTTACAATTTTATCTTACAAAATAAATAATAAAATTAAAATAATAAAGTTATACTTCTTTGAAACAAATTTCTAGCTAAGAAATTGGAATCTACATCTTATAAACAGTCATCCATCTCGTATCCAAATATGTTTTTTAATCCATCACCTCCAATCTGTTTTTCTTAATTTAATTTTCAATTCTAGTAGTTCTTTGAGTCTATGTGACTTTTTAAAATATGTTACAATAACTGTATACCATTGAATAATTTTTTGAAAATGTATATTTTATTAAATCTTTTGTAATCAAATTTAGTGAATATGCTACATATCTAATATTGAGGATGTGGAAATCTTTCAGTAATTAAATTTCGTGCAGAATGAACATTTGATCCAGCATCTGTCACGATACCTACAAACTTTTGAATGCCAATATCTTCAAGAACTGACTGTATTTGTCGAGCAAGAAATTCCGCAATATGGCTCTCACTACCGAAATCTCCGAAAACCGATTTTTTATAAACTTTTATAATAAAATACTATATAACGTATCCGAACTTAACCCCCATGCATATATTAGCCATATAATATTCTTGTATTTTCTAAAATGAACAGTCATGTGACTGTGGCAATATACTAATCCAGGCCAAATTTATAGTGCCGGTTATGTCAAGCGAATTATTAATTTTGACCAGCACCACAAATTTGGCCTAAATTATCTAGAAGTTCAACTCTCTATAAATGCACTCCCTTGAGACCGGAAATAAGTGTGCATATCATTAATTTATATTATAAAAAAAAAATACCGGAATATGAATTTATAGATTATCTGTAATTATGTATAAATATGTGTAATTATCATACTTTTAATCATCGGCTAGAATAATAACTTTTTCATAGTTCAAGAACATGAACGTAAAACCGCAACAATACCGCAGTCACAATGTATCACATTATGTACAAAATTTAATAAGGGATGCATTAAAAATTTATAAGATAATTCACTTAATAATTAATCCCTTCATTAGATAATATACTCAACGATTAATCTTAAAAGAAATTTTAAAAAATTAACACTTTATTAATTTGATAATTTCATAATTTCAGTCAAAACATGACGTGAAAATTTCACGAAGTCACGTAAATGCATTTATATAGAAATCTTTATATTAACGGAATTTAAAAATCGGGTGCATTTAGCACTAATTCCCAACTTGGGCGGATTAAATAGTCATTTAAATTTCAAATCTTATCTAAATCTGATCTGATCTGATCTGACCTGATCTGTATAGAACCTTATTTCAGCTTAAAAAGGGTATGCATTTATATGGGTGCATTTATAGAGTTGACTGTATTATATAACGAATTCACTATATATCAAACCGCAAATAAATTCTATAGGACTATCCTATTATCCGGATTGATATTCGGATCTACGGATAACCCTATAGGGTAAAATATTTTTGCTAAAAAAAGTAAGGTACGATCATCAAAATATAGGTATATACCAAAAATTAATTGACCCTTAATATTGATACATGTATGATTGACATTTTGTTAAAGAATAATAATTGGTACATGAAAGTTAAAATTTAATATTGAATCATTAAACCATATGTTCGTTATCTAGAATAATTCGGATTATTCAAACGGATTATTCCATATTATTCATAAGATAATTCGGTGAAAAACTGTATAAATAACATCGTTAATAAATATAATGTGTCACGTATATAAATTTTTGTGGAAATTAAATTTTAATAACTCCTGGAATAAAAAATATGTGCTGTTATTATTGCTATTATGCGACATAATGAAAAATTATGAATGACAAGTAATATTTAAATTGGTTTGAATTTTAATTTGTAGTATTTTTTATTAATAATAATCATGCTCATAAAAAAAAATCGAATAATTACATTTGTTTTTAAATAATTATATTTGTTATACACTGTATATAAATCTTTGTTTGCAAAATCAAAAATAAATTTAATGATGAAATTAAATATTGAAATAACAAACATTACTTTAATAGAGGATTATTTGGTTATCTCCGCGTGATTTTTATTAATAATTTAAAGAAAATTTCTTAATTTACACTAAGTGTTCATACACGTATCACGTGACTTATTAAAAAGAAAAAAAAAATTATGCGCAAAAATTCTTAATAAATTTTCAAAGGAAATCTGTTTTTTTTTTCGTTTTTTTTCGTTAAATTTAATTCTACCCAACATTAAATAATCGGCATAAAAATTTACTTTTTTGTAAACCCGTGTTTGAACGTACAAATAGAAATCGTCTATAATTTAAATTTTCATAATTATCCTTTAATTCAATTAATTCATGATATGTACGTTCATTTGTTTTTAAATAATTATATTATTATATATTCTGCATTTAAAAATTTTTAATAATGAAATTGAGCGTAAATGTTGAAACATGATTGATATAAACAAATCTGTGCTGATTTTTCATATGCACCAATCAGATTGCGAAACTTGCATTTTGATCGAAAATTCTGGAAATTTACGGGTAAACGCTGAATTACAAAATCAGCTTAGCCCAAAGTATATGATGAAATCAAATGCATTTTTTATAAAAAACATTTTTTTTTTAGTTAAATCATGAAATTTAATAAGCAAAAAAGATTTTCAAAAAGCTAAAATTAGATGAGTAATAGATAAAGCTTAATACAAAAATAACGTACTTTTGAAAACGAAAGATAATTTATCGTATATTATTTACTAATTGATAATAACTTAAGTTTTTATAATTGGTGTAACATAAGTTACAAAATAAAATGGCGATTTTTCGCCAAATTTTGAGAAAATATTCGTAAAATTGATCAATGTACAAAAATAATGAAATTTCATTAAAAATATTTATAAAGTTACGAATAAAACTTGTTTACGAAGTTTTTCGGCCAAAGGACCATCCTTTACATGTTAAGGTTCAGCACCAATTTGAAAACATTTTTGTTTATTAATTTATGTATTTTTTTGATTAAATCGGCGGTAATAATTAAATTTTGAAATAATGATATGCTCTGGAGTTATTCTCATTAATAATATTATTTTCAATATTGGAAATATTATAATTGAGTAAATAAACCTAAAATTTTCTTACTCGCTCCAGGTGCTCAAATCTACATTAAATTATGTCACTGATAGTAACATAATTTAAAAAAATATTTTAATGGTTAATGAACACTATATAGATTACATATTCATACAAAAAATAAAATTAGAGATAAAAATAGAATAAAATATTATATTTGTAATTAGATCAGTTGCATAAAATGTGTGCATTTAATTTTTTTTAAAAATATAATCATGTCAAATAATCACGTGTTACTCCAATTAGTTTAGCTTATTTACTTAATTTAGTTTAGCTAACCCTATAAAAAAATTCAACCAAATATATTCTATCAATTCACATTTAAGAGTTTTTTTTATAAAACACTATATATAGCCATTTGTCTTATTGTCGTACATAGTCACGTTGCCGGACGGACATCCGTAGAAGTGTATAGTTCTTTATTATTCTTCGGACTAATAAAATAATACATAAATTATTTGATACTAAACACGGAAGTTATGGAAAATCTCCATTTGGATGAAATTCAGGAGTCTTAATTCCTTTTTTTGGATAATTGTAAAGATTCGTTTGGTTCAGAAGATATTAAATTTTCTATAAACGCATCACTTATTTTGATTTTTATAAAAATGATCTACAATAAACCTGTCGAAAAATAATTATATAAAAAGCTCGCGTATGTCAATTTTAAATTCGCTATAAGATAGAATTCTCTAGAATATTTTGAATTATTTGAAAATATTTTACTGTATGATTTAATATGCCTAAAAATACATTAAGAAGACAAAAAAGTCTTAAACATTTTACATTTATTAATTCTAATGTTAGTGATCATGTAGATAATTCCAATTTAAATAACGAAACAAATTTTAATGGGAATAACTACAATAATTTATTCATTAACCTCAAACCAGCTTTTCCTTCAACTATAACTACTAAAGATCTAATCAAAACCGCTAATACAAATAACAAACCAAAATGGTTTCCAAACGCATTTATCGCGTATAGAATGGCATTAGTGAGAGAATTTCGTATTAAAAATTGTAAATTACCTTCTATGGGTGAAGTTTCTAAAATCGCTAAAAATTTTTGGAATATGGAACCCAAGAATGTAAAAGATTTTTATGAAGCACTTGTTAAGGAAGCGAAATCAACTTATAAGAAAAATAACATTCAAATTTTATTGGATAAACATATGGATTACACGGAACAAGGAAGTGACGTAACTGAAAAGCAACTCGAGAAAGTAAATCCTATCCACAATTCAGTCGCTAGTGCTGAAAATAATAATAATGCTGGTATTCCTACCGTTAACATTTCCTTAGTTAATTCTTTACCCGACATTCCCTATGAAATAAATTCAACACTTAATAATCGAGAGTACCCTATTCACAATTCAGTCGCTAGTGCTGAAAATAATAATAATGCTGGTATTCCTACCGCTAACATTTCCTTAGTTAATTCTTTACCCGACATTCCCTATGAATTAAATTCAACACTTAATGATCGAGAGTACATTAAAGTGTTGGAACAAATAATCGCGAACTTAATCGGTTCACATTGGCAAATTTGCGAACATTATTGATAAAAACTAAAAATTGGCATGATTTCGTTTTACATACGTACAATCTATTAATTGCAATTGATTATGAAACGTTAACATTAAGACATTTCAATTCTTTAATATAAGTTAAATAATACGGCAAATATAGTATTGATCTTATGAAAATTAAATTTATAAAGTATGTTAAAAAATATATAGAATTCGTGCGACGAGCTGGTCTTACGTACAACACGATTAATCTGAATAATCTGAATATAGTGGTTAAATTAAAAATTTTTTATGTCGATTAAATTAAATCTTTCGATCTTTTAATTTGTATGAGTGCGGTGGGAGGCGTGAGTCGTAATTTCATTTATATTTCCTATATTAAAATACTGTAATTCTTTATGACAATAAATTTGTTTCATTGCACATTTTAACTTGTGCAAAGAATTTTAGTCCATTCTTTCGTATGAATCATAAACAAATTATGAGGAGAAACTAAGATTTTTCTAAGTTGAAAAGTCTGTTGCTTATAAGTAAATAGTATTCTTTTGTTTTCTAATTTAAAGAACATCTGTACCATTTTACCGGCGGCATTTCACGTCCATCCTTGCCATAGTTTTATTAATAATGCCTATCCAACATCTTACGTTATTAAATAATGATTATATCCTTGCTATTATTGGCCAGACGATTAGTTGATGAATGCGAATTGAAGGGTTAATATAATATAAAAGCATTCTGCGGCTCTTACTATTATAAAAAATCATTTAGATATATAGTATGATCGTACCTTCCAACATTAACAATAAAGGAAAAATCACTTTTTTTTATTTTTGTAGAATTGTGTGAATGAATGAATAGATTCATGAATTATTAATTGATCAAGATGCAAAATCAAATAAGAAAAATTACATTCAAATTACTTAGAAATTAATCTTTCATGTTGGCAATCTGAAAAAGACATTGAAAATTGTTAACGTATACATATTTATCGAAAATTTTCAAGTCCTTTATTGTCCGGAGCGTAGCGAAGGACTTTCTATTGTAGAGCACTTATAACTGACAATTTTGGATTAACCCATGAAATTTTCCTTCTGTCCATCCGCTGACGTCACCTCATTAATTTGCTTTTTCGATTATGAATGATGATTTTGTAACACTGCTTATTTTATTTTGTGTTACGTATTTTTATATGCTATTTTCGTAAACAATTACTTTTTTTTTTTTAATAAAAAAAGATACCGAGTAAATAAGCGCGACGACTTTAACGGTTTCCGTTTTCTAGTAATAATTATTTGTATGTTGACTTTATAAATTTTAACTGCGATTTATGTTATGTGTTAACTCATTCAGAACGTTTTAAACCATAAAAAGCTATTGCTGTAAGTTTTTTAATTTTAAAACTACTATTTTTTAGCATTTAATCACGTGGTAATAAACTAACTCGGGATATCGTCAAATTCTACGAATATTTATGTTAATGTAATAATTGCAGGAATCAACTAATGAGAATATAAAAATTTGAAAATCAATTCTTGAATAATAAATTACGAATGTTACAAATATCATAGTAAAAACTATTACTAAAAAAAATTAATTTACACTTTGTGATAAGTCCTTTTTAAATTATATTGAAACAAATCTTTTTAAATAAAAAAACTCTTGTGTTCAAAATTGAATTAAAAAGGTAATGTCTATTGCTAAATTTGAAAACCTGTTTCGGAAATTTAATTACTACAAACGTGTTACAACGTTTCCGTGTAACAAATCACTTGATCGATCGTAATACAATTCTTAAAATTTCGCCGAAGGGAAATTTATCAAATTCATTTCACCGAATTTCCATTTCACTGAATTCCCATTTCACCGAATTCCATTTCACCGAAAATGGTAGCAATTAAACATTTTTATAAAAAATATTCAACGTGCAATGAAAATGAAGCGTTTGAACCAATTCTTTTAACTGATATTAATTGTTGCGCAATAAATAATTTTCCTGAAAACATTTATTTACGAAAAAGTATGTAAAAAAAAGATTAATATATCTGATATTATAAACAACCAATCTATAAAGATGAGATAAATTTCATCTAATTCTTTAGTATAAAAAAAATAAAATGACCAAATAGAATAAATAATTTTTCGGAATGTTTTATTCGGCGAAACGTCCGACCATTCGGTGAAACGTTCATTCGGTTTTCGGCAAAAAGTCCCGATACTATTCTTACATATGCAAGAAAGTTTTAAATTTTTTATTTTAATTCGTGATCCGTATAAAACAAGTAGTGAAAATCACTATTCAAATTCGGGGGGAATCATTTTTTGCGATTATCTCGTATTCTAGTGATCCATTTTTTGTTATGTAACTCTCCACGTTCTTTATATTAAAAATAAAAAAAAAATCGACGAAATTGGACCAATAGATCGTGAGATAATTACAAAACCGGGTCTAGATTCCTCACGATATTCTCCGAACTAAAAATAGGTTTTATAATTATCGCTACTATTGGTCCAATTTCGATGATCTTTTTTTTATTTTGTGGACACAACAAAAATTGTTCATCGAAATTGGATTGCTGGGTCAACAGATCATCGCAAAAAACAATTTTTTTATTCCCCCGAATTTGAATAGTGATTTTCACTACTTGTTATACGGATCACGAATTAATTATAATATATGCCTAAAACCAAAGAAACAAAAAAAAAATAATAATCGCGAACGCTTTATATTCATTAACTATAATGTTGACACAACGGCAGGTAGTAAGTGAGTAACGGAAATTGGCTAAGTAAGTAACGTAAAATTACTAATTTAGGTCAATTTACGTTACTCCCCTTATATAAGGCACGGAACGTAAAGTCAATTATATTTACTTTACGTTACTCCCTTTATATATAAGGTACATAAGGGGGATTGCTAAACGTCACCTGAGCGATCATCGCCTGGGTTTTTTTTCAAGTATGTCACAATTGTCACATGATGCACAGTAATTTATTTATTAATCGGCTGATGGCTGATTGTTTTAGCTAATTTTTGATCGGTTAAACTTAAAATTTTATTGAGAAGATATTTTTAAAAAAAATTTTTTGCAAATATATTTAATTAAAAATAATCTTATTTAATGAAATTTTATTTGCAAATATTAAATTCAAGTCACACATTTTGATTTTAAAGAAAAAAATCACCATATTGAGTATACTGAAAATGAGATTCGATAAACAAATAAACATGACGCGATCATGTGGCAAATATAAGGAGTAACGTAAAGTATTTACCAAAAAAATTTACGTTCCGTACCTTATATAAGAGAAGTAACGTAATAGATCATGTGACTTACGTTACTTACTTTGCCAATTTCCGTTACTTACTTTCTATATATTCATTACAACGGGGAAACAGGCTTTTGAAGTCTCAGTATAATATCTAGCAAGAAGGGTGAATACTCTGATATATCAGCTTGGAATCCCGCTCTACCCCTAGTTCTGAACCCGTTCGCGCCTAAAAAATAGATTTCTTGGCATTTTTTGTTTCTACGCGTGAATGATTCGGTGAAACTCGATAAGGATCAAAATAAAATAAAAATTATACCGCTGTATCTGATCAATGCTTCGAGTATAATGATATAATTTTACCTTGTCCTAAATTTTTATCATGTTAATTTTAAATCTTATTAGCCCTGTAAAAAAAGTCGATCCGTTTTTTATATTCCATTTTTTTTCCCGTAAAAGGCTCATATTTCCGGAATTAATAACCTTATATCACGGAATTTATCGATTTATTTACATTTTCTGTGAATGAATCGTGAAAGGCTCATTTTTACGGAGTTTTTACAGAAATAACGGATAAAATTTTTTATAGGGTAGAAGCAGATGATTTGCTCCGTTTTCCTAAAATCTTAATATCTTTTAGTTCTATAAATATGTACAGCCTCAATTAATATGATTTATGAGCGATTTACACTTGTGAAACTATTCTTTTTTTATTGTCTTATTTGTTTGTTTATTTGCCCTATAAAAAATGATATTGTCCAAACACTTCAGTTTTTTGTTCGGAAATCGACCCCGTTCCGAACATTTACTTGACATTTATTGGACATTCATCATGATCATATTGTACGTTTTTTTATGTAGTTAAAAATTCTCAATCTCCGCATCTTGTATTAAATTGTACCAAATGTTGTGTAATAGCGTGCGAGTGTCCGGAAAAAAATCAACCCATTCCGAATATTTATCGGACAAACATTTTTTATAGAGTTGTATATATAATCTTCGAATAATCTTCTAGAGAAAACTTAAATTCTATTAATTATGGCGTATAGTTAAATAATAGATATAATAGGCATAAAAGGCACAAATAAACATCCGATTTTCCGATTTAAAATCTCGTAATTCTCGTCATTATTTGGCTTGCAATATAGCAGTATTCGGATTTGCATTCGAAATTAAGAATTAATTATTTTCGTGATAGTACGTATATGATATTTTAGTTTTAAAGGCTGAGGCGTTGAGCATATGTAAAATAAAAATTTTTTTGAGAATTTGATCATTTTACAACACAAATTAATGCTAAAAATATTCGTTTTTTTACATGGAAAATTTCTGTACCGCCAAATTTTCGGAATTTATTTATTTTTTAACACTTTTATTAACATTATGAATTTTTTTTTGTATAGAATATTTTTTGGATAAGAGAAATTATAATTAACTAATCAATTTCATGAATGTTTAAAACCTTATTGAACGAAAAAAAAAACGGTTTAATTAACTTATAAAAAAAATTCTTGCTCCTTATAAATTTATTATAATAAAATACGAGTAATTTGGGTTAAAATTAATTCATAAAATTCATAAAGCCAACCAACGAAAAATAATTATATTTGATTATTAATTGCAAAAGTCATGAATAAAAAAAAAACGTCATATAGTAACCATAATTAGGAAGACTTTAAATATTTTCCATAGGTATTTCCCGATTTGGAAAAATCTATTAAATTGCATATTAAATTTCTGTGTAACATAAGCATATTAGTGGATTCCTGTGTGACATAAGCTCCATTTAAAATATTAAATGGATTTCATATACCTATTAAATTTATGTGTAAAAAAACAAATAAATACTATTTTTCAATTTCACGGTCAATGCTTTTTTTTTAAGATTTGTAAACATAAATCAATTAATTTTTAAGTAAATAATCAATTGTTTGTTCCAACACTTTAATGTACTCTCGATCGTTGATCGAAGTAGTCAAACTATCAGTTGAACTGACACTAGGAGAGCTAAATTTATTATCATGGATAGAATTCTCAGCATTACCAGAATTCTGAGTCTGGTGATTTTCATTCACGACTGTGTCATAACTTTCTTGATTATTTACCATGCCGCTCATGTGTTTATCCAACACGATTTGAATATTATTTTGTTTATAAATTGATTTTACATCCTTAACAAGTGATTCATAATAATCCTTTACGTGTTTAGGTTCCATGTTCCAAGAATTTTTTGCGATTTTAGAAACTTTACTCATAGGAGGTAATTTACAATTTTTAATGCGATATTCTTTCATTAATGCCATTCGATATGCAATAAAAGCGTTTGGAAGAGGTTTTGGATTATTATTAGTATTGTTTTTTTTAATTAGATCATCCATCATTAAAGTAGAAGGAAATGATGGTTTGAGAATAATGGAGTTTTCGCCGTTTTTGTAATATTGTTGATTTGAAGAGATTTTGGGCATATTGAAAATTACTAACTAAATAAATTTGAATCTCATTTACTTCTTTAGAGACGTGGAAAATTTGGCCATTTTATAGCAAAAATATCGATATATTAATTTCTTTTAATACATGGTATGACGCTCATCTGGAGTTCCGAACCCGCTCGCTTCTAAAAATAGTTTTCTTGGCATTTTTTATTTCTACGCGCGGTGAAACTCGATAAAAAGTTATACCGCAGTATCGGATCAATGCTTCGAGTATAATGATAAAATTTTTACCTTGTCAAGCTGTTTATCATGTTAAATTTGAATTTATTATTAGAAGCAGATGATTTGCTCTGCTTTCTTAAAATCTTAATATCTTTGTTCTATAAATATGTACAGCCTCAATTCGTGTGATTTATTAGCGATTTACACTTGTGAAACTATTCATGGGTTTAAAAACGTCATTGTCTTATTTATTTGTTTGTTTGTTTATTTGTATATATAATCTTCGAATAATCTTCCAGAGCAAACTTAGTTAAATTCTATTAATTATAGCGTATAATCAATATAATAGATAGGCACAAAAGGCACAAATAAACATCCGATTCTCCCTATTATTTGGCTTATAATATAGCAGTATTAGGATTTGCATTCGAATTAAGAATTACTAATTATTGTCGTGATAGTACGTATATGATATCTTAGTTTTAAAGGTTGAGGCGTTGAACATATGTAAAATAAAAATTTTTTGAGAATTTGGTCATTTTACAACAAAAATTATTACTAAAATTTTTCGTTTTTTACATGGAGAATTTCTGTACCGCTAAACTTTCGATATTTGTAAAATTCCTCGAAATTATTATCTATTTTCAAACACTTTAACATTATGAATTTTTTCAATAGAATATTTTTTTGGATAAGAGAAATTATAATTGACTAATCAATTTCATGAATATTTTAAAACCTCATTGAACGAAAAAAAAAACAACATAAAAAAATTCTTATAATTTGGGTTAAAATTGACGATCCCGACCAAACTTGTACTAACCAATTCTAAGGCCAACCAACAAAAACAATTATATTTAATTATTAATTACAATATTTTTCCAATAGGGATTTCCCGATTTGGGAAAATCTATAAAATTGCATATTAAATTTCTGTGTAACATAAGGTTAAAATCTATATAATCTATATTCTCTATATATATATAATTAAAAAGAATGGTGTTTGTGTGACTAACGTTTAGATTAGCCTGTATAAATAATCTTTGAACTGTGCGTTATTTCATCTGCGCCTCTGCACCTGATCTATTACGTTTTCTTATGGTCCGATATATATATAATTAAAAAAAATGGTGTTTGTGTGACTAACGTTTAGATTAGCCTGTATAAATAATCTTTGAATTGTGCGTTATTCATCTGCGCCTCTGCACCTGATCTATTACGTTTTCTTATAGTCCGATACATGCAATGTTAATTACTAATGTTGCGCCTTAATAGTTAAGACCACTTGATCGGCAGATTCATTCTGTGCAAGAGAATTAATTTTGATTCTCGATAATTTCCCTTTCGCTAATATTTATAAGCGATAGGTAATTAACTATCTTTAGCAATAATGATAGATCCCTATAACGGGTTTTTTTTTTTGCGATGTATTTTTTTGATTATATAGATTATAAAGATTTTTTTAACAATAAAACGCTATGATGATATTTTTGTTTTTATATCAATAAAATATTTAAAATTGCCTTTGTAATGCATTTGTAAGCACATAAATAAATCATAAATTCTACAATAACCTTCGTGTAATAATAAGATTTGCATCAAATTTCCATCAATATAACACATCTACTTATATATACTGAAATTGATATAGAACTTTTCAAAGTGAAACACCTAAACAACGGAAAAAGAAGATTAAATAATGAACGTCAAGCCGCCTATTACAGAAAAAGACTAAAAACCAGACAAAATATCATTTACATAAAGCGTCATGAACTTGGTAGAATGGATCAGATCTGTATCCATTGTGATGCCAAGTTTTGAATAGAAGAAAAAGATCGTGATAGTCGCAAAACTTCACCATCTTTTGCTGTATGTTGTACTGGTGGAAAAATCACCTTTACTTAAACCACCATCATATTTACTAAATTTGTATATTTCATCAAGTTCTGATGCAAATTCATTTCGCAAAAATATTTAATAGTTACTCGGCACTTCGTGCCGAGTAACTGTTGTATTTGCAATAAGCAATATGATTGGTGGGATTTACTGAGCGCAGCTCAGTAAATTTTACTGATCATATTCTTATTGCAAATACATGTAAGGCACGACAGTGCCGCAGTTATGAGGTCACGTTGTGCCGAGTAACTGTTTTATCAGGCTTACGTAATAGGTATTTTTTATACAACTTAGTAACTGGTTGTACTAACATAAATCACCAATTAGTAAATGCCTGATAAAAGAGGTTATAACAACATTTTAGCATGTGCATCACTTTCAGACTAAATTAAAACATTATATATAATGAAATCTTTCAAAGTATTTAATATTGTAAGTATAATTTACTATATATTTTGTATTGTATGATGTTTTAAAATTCAATTGTTAGGAATGTTTTTAATATTTTATATTTTTATTTATTTGCACTCCTTTAAATTTCTAATTATGAACAAGAATAATACTTAAAATTTCTAAACATAAATCAGAATTTCCTTTTCATTATTCATTACTACATTAATTTAAAGCAACTTACTAATCCCGGTGCGAAGCAATGGGTTACTGCTAGTAACTTATTAAATTTATGTGTAAAAAACGAATAAATATTATTTTCAATTTCACGGAATAAATTATCGATCTTTTTTTCAGATTTGTCAACATAAATCGATTAAATTTTTAAGTAAACAATCAATTATTTGTTCCAACACTTTAATGTACTCTCGATTGTGAAGTAGAATTGTTGGCATTTGTAACATTAATTCATGACATAAAAATTAAAAGTTTTGGTCAGGATCCGGCCAAAAGAAAAAGAAAAAGAGAATTACCTATTGTGTTAAACTCATTTTATATTTGTGTTCATGTGTAATAAAAAACGTCCAAAAAAGCATCATTTTGTCCAATTTATGTTTTATCACAAAAAAACAAAAATCAAACAAAATGGTGCTTTTTTACACATGAACACAAATATAAAACAAATTTAACACATTCTGTTTTTTATGGTTGAAGGTTTCAGCCGAATCCGACCAAAAAAAAAATAAAATAAATAAAATAAAATATTGACCAATTAAAAGAAAAAAAAAATAAAAATTTAAAAAGTTTCGGCGGATCTTATCATATTGATCGTCATAATTCTGGCCAAGTTATAACTCTGACCAGAATTAACGCAAGGTATGTCGATCAGATCCTTTTTTGGTGACAACCGTTCCACAAAAATTATTTTCCTTTTGTAACATTATTTCCTAAAATAGAATTAAATTCTGGCCAGAATTATAAGTTGGCCCAAATTATGGCATTACGTAAAAGAAAAAAATTTTTTTATAATTTATATTATCCGAATTCCGGGCGCAAAAAATTACTTCAAATGACTGATTATTTAAGTCATTTGAAGAATATTAAATATTTTTATTAATTATCTTGTAAATATTAAAACTAAATCTATTTAATATAAATAAAAAAAAAAGTTTTAATAGTAGTAAAAAAGATTTAGAATCACGTGATTTATCAATTTTCTATATTATTTAATCATAAACTCCATTCACAGAATTATTCGCTTTCGGTTCCCACACAAAGAAATAGGAGCCAATATACGAGATATTATCACAACAAAACTCTGCCTTATTTTAAACATATTGTTAATGTTGACGCTTCCGCTAGCATTAGGTGGACTACGTGCAACTTTTTACATAGTGGGTCGTGGGAATCTTATAGAGACACTCTATTATTTTTTTCTCATAATTATTTACCTGTTTCGAACCTTTTAGACTCCCATAGATCACTTCTCAGTGCGATTACTTAATATCCCTTTAGCCTTTTCTCTAGTATTAGACGGGAGCATTTGCTTCGGTGAATCTCCCGTAGTTCTTTTTTATTCGTACCAGGGTGGCACCGTTCTCAGGCGGTTTGATTATAGCATAGTTTTAGGTAGCGTTTGACTTTAGTTATATCTTTAGTTCTTGTCTATCTTCCTGTAATCTAGTTCACGTGGATATTAAAAATAAAAAATAAAAAATAAATTCACAGAATTATTTATGGTCAACCAATTTAATCCTTACACCGGTCGGGGTGGGCATAGTGTGTTCGCCTCCCCCTGATACGCTGCAGTTGGCCCCAAATACCAAAAAATACCTACTGATGTAGGTGGTCCGGGGTGGGTTTAGGGTGGCCCTAGTTGGGTCACCCTAAATCTCCATTAGAAGTAAGGGTTCATCCTGGTGGTACCTTGACGGATGACAGGTTCTATGTAGATTAGTAACTTTCGATAGATTGTTCATATCTTTTTGTATACCTTGCCAACTTCACATAAAATAAATAAAATAAATAAATAAATAAATAAATAAATCACAGAATTATTTAACCAAAGGTAACATCGTCACGACAGCGACGGTTTGGTTCATAGTTTTAAAAGATTACTTCAGGCTCTTTTGCAGTGTTTTTGTAATTTGTACTGTGACCTAGTTCACGTTGAAATAAAAATAAAATTCACAGAATTATTTTATTTCGCCCTATAAAAAAAAAAATGTTCGGAAAATTGCAATATACTGGACGCTAAGTTATTGTGAATTTCCCCGGACACCTGGACACTTTCTGGACATTTTCGACGACAATTTTCGGACATTTTTTTTTTATAGGGTCGCCGAAGATCTTTTCATCATACAGCTTTATTTTACTGGCAATCTAAATAAATTTGCAATAAAATGATTTAATATATCTCAATCATTATCCATTTTCACATATGAATTGTTTAATATCTTTAACCATAAGATGGTCATAAAATTTTATTTATGTATAATAAATTTACATAATAAATAACATATTATTATTTATTACTTTAGTAATTGTGGCTATAATATTGGTTGTTAAAGCTGATTCTTAAATTACAGTAAAAAAAGAAATAGTTTAGTAGAATAATTCTGTGAGAGATTATGATTTTCACGATTATACATATCCTTCATTTGTTAAATTGTCCAATAATATTTCTGTATTTTAATGACAAATATCCAAATGACAAATGATGTAAATGACGGTCAAATGACATTCAATCATTTGGCATCTGGCATCTTGGTCATTTGTGAAATGACAAATGACAAATGATCGGGTATCATTTGAACAAATGATTCCTAATCCGAAAAATGGTCAAATGACCAGATCATTTCCGAACACTTCATCCGGTTGAAGGGTTTCCTTAATGTTGTACGATATTAAAGTACGAACTTGCCGAAATTAACGTTAACGCTATAACGTGCAAGTGCATAACTCCTAAACTCGGGCCAGTTCGTACGTTAATATCGTACTTCCTCACTGTACGTTATGAATCTTGTAGATCTGGAGATAATTTTTTTTTACCTCCGATAATTTGGGCCAGTTCCGCATCATTTTTACCAAATCTGCAATAATTTCGACCAGATCTTTCGAAGTTATTAAACATAGGTTACAAAAATTCTTGAGTCTAACCGAATTGCTGTCATATGGCCGAAATGGCTGAAACATTTCGTCTCATATGCATAGTCAACAGAATCCTTTCGCAATTATGTTGTTTTTGATTAATATAAGTTACGTGATAAAGATAGTCAAAATGATTATTTGGAAATCTTTATTTATTTTTATATATTCATTTTCAAATTTTCGAATATCTTAATTCTAGAAATTTATTCTATCAAACCCCGTGATTTTCGTCATAATTCATTAATAATTGACTAATAATTGTCCGTTGCTCTGCTGAACTTAAAACCATATCAGAATATAGATAATTGTTCACACCTGGAAATAAGTTCTAGCATGAACAATTATTACGAATCTATTGATTAAATTATTTTCCCATGATGAACTTTTTTTTGAATTGTAGAGCTCAATTACATGATAGAAATCCGTAATAATTTTGACGGAGACATGCTATACATTACACAATTCAAATTATGTTGTAACGCGTTTGCGAAATTTTCTAAAACTTTTTATAGGGCTATCGATGTTTTTTGCAGATTTACCATGAAACGATTAGAGATGACGCTGCAACTAGTAAGCCTTACTAATCGTAACTCGCAACTCGCAACCCACAACCCGCAACCCGCAACCCGCAACCCGCAACTCTAAGTTTTATTATATAGTCGTAATTTCGCAACTATTTAAAAAACAGTTGAGGCGTCAATCTTAGAAATGATTAATTTCTAAGTAAATAATTAATTATTTGTTCCAATACTCCAATGTACTCTCGGTCATTAGGTGTTGAATTCACATCATATGAGGTGTTAATCGAAGTAGAATTATTTAGTAGAAATATCAATTGAACTGACACTAGAAAAACTAACTTCATTACTATGAGTGAATTCACAGAATTTAGATTTTCGTCATAGGTTACATCGCCTTCTTGATTATTTTCCATATAGTTTATATGTTTATCCAAAAAGATTTGAATATTATTTTGCTTATAAGATAATTTTGCACCCTCAACAAGTGATCATAAAAATCCTTTACGTGTTTAGGTTCTATATTCCAAGAATTTTTTGCGATTTTAGAAACTTCACCCATAGAAGGAAATTAACAATTTTTAACGCGATATTCTTTCATCAACGCAATAAAAGCGTTAGGAAGTTTGCTATTTGTATTGGCATTTTTAGTTAAATCGTTAATCGTTAATATTGGAGAAAAAGTTGGTTTGAGGATAGTGAGAATATTGTTGGAGTCGCCTGACTCGCCTCTACCACTAGCAGTATTAGTTTTGCCACATAATTTGGAATCATTTGCATAGAATCGAGATCATTCTTGTGCTCTGTTACTCCGAATCCACCTAGGTTCTACATCCAAAACGCTGAATAAATATTAGCGCTCAAATAGATAGACATTTCAAATTTTTCACACAGGATAATTATAAGTTTGAGGAACATTAGTTGAATGTTTTGGATTAATTCATAAATCGCCATAGATATTAGAATTAATAAATGATACGTCACGTTTGCGATATTTTTTTTTTAAAGTGATTTTGGGCATATTAAAGATTTACAAAAAATTAAATAAATTTGAAACTACTTTTAGGGACGTAGGAAATTTGGACAGAACATCGATATTTTTTTAATACTTGGCGTAACGTTAATTAATAACAATACCGATTTGTCACGCATTGTTCATTTTTCATGGCCACGTTGTTGTGACAGATTATTTACTTTTAGGAGTGTTTCTTAAAATTTAATTGCCTGCCTAACATATGACCTACACGGTAAAATTATATATGCGTGCAGACTCAATTTTCTGTATATTATGTAATATCTGTTATCTCATAGGATCATGATACCAATCATTTTGTTCATATTCGGCATGTTACATTATATATTATTCATTGCTGTTATTATGTGCATTACAAATTATAGATTATAGGGTTGCAGTTTACAGATGAATAGACCAATTATTGAAATTACTTACCAAATTTGATAAGGGAGATATGACCGTACAGATGACTCAACGACGGCCAATCATTTAAACATCGCATGTAATCTTATATTCGAAAAATCTTAATTCTAAATAAATGTATTCGGATTTGCATCGCTATTAATTTTTTTTTTTGGTTTTTTTTTTTTTTTTTTTNTTTTTTTTTTTTTTTTTTGAGAATTTGGCTATTTTGCAACTAGAAATCAATATCTTTTTTCAAATATAAAAAATTTTTTTGAACCCGCTAAACTTTTGGAATTTATAAGATTTCTCGAAATTGAAATTTATTTAGTTCTAACAAACTTATTTAGTAACATTATGGAATTTTTTGGATAAGTGAAATTATCTTTATCAATCAATCTCATGAGAAAAATGATTTAATAAACTAAAAAAGAATCTTTCTTATATATAATAAATATTATTATTTGAGTTAAGTAAAACTTACTATACAACCCAAATTCATAGAAAATTAATTGTACATGATTATTAATTATTTACTGGAATGTATAATTGCAAATTTATGAGTGAAAATTATGTAAAATAGTAATCTAAAATGAGGAAGACTTGAATATCTTTTTCATAGAGGTTTCCCGATTTGGAAAAATCTATAAAATTGCACGTTAAATTCCTGTGTAACATAGGTTTATAAAGTAGAAATACTAATTTAGTTTCTCACGACTTATTAAATTATTAAATGTGTAAAAAGCGAGTAAAGCGAGTACGGTACTATTTTTCAATTTATATATTAATTTTTAAGTAAACAGTAAATTATTTGTTCCAACACATTAATGTACTCTTGATCGCCAATCGAAGTAGAATCGACACTAAGAAAGCTAGATTTATTAGAATTCTCAACATCAAAAGGATTCTGAATCTGGCTATCTTCATTTACGACTGCATTATATGTTGCATCGTTTTCTTGACTATTTACCACATGATTACCCATATGTTTATCTAATATAATTTGAATATTATTTTGTTTATAAATTGCTTTTGCATCCTCAACAAGTGATTCATAAAAGTCCTTTACGTGTTTAGGTTCTATATTCCAAGAATTTTTAGCGATTTTAGAAACTTCACCCATAGGAGGTAATTTACAATTTTTAATACGATATTCTTTCATCAATGCCATCCTATATGCAATAAAAGCATTTGGAAGCAATTTTGGCTTACTGTTGGTATTTCTTTTAATTAGATCATCTAACATTAAGGTTGAAGGAAATGATGGTTTGAGGATAGTGAGAATATTTTTGGAGTCGCCTTTACCACTATTAGTTTTGCCACGTAAATTGAAATTATCTGTATTTATATTAGAATTAACAAATCTATCCCGCTTGCGATAATTTTGTTTTAAAGTGATTTTAGGCATGTTTGAAAAAAAAATTTAGAATTTCTTTAGAAACGTAGGAAATTTGGCCATTTTATATTCTTGAGTATATTCTGTGCATTATGTTTATTAAGAATGTACTGAGCTTATATTTAAATGTGCTACAACCCCTTGTAACGTGGAAAAATGATCAGACATTTCAAATTTATCTTGTCAATCAAAATCAGTAGATCAGCGGAACTAAAGATATGCCCGCCTTTTTTGATCGCATGATTAATGTCTATATGAAAAAACTGGGAGATTTTTGTCTTCCAAGACCTATAATAAGAAATATGGTCAATCATATATTTGGTCTCAATTATATACTAGGAAACGTTGTTCAAATTTTACTTATAATGTTGTATTGTATAACATCACGTCCGGACATTTGTGTACTTATAAAAAAAAATATGACTAATGATTTACAAACTATTCATGCGTTGCTTTTCCATCATTCTATATTTATTTAGTTATTCATTCATTTATATATTTATTTTTGAATATCTAATTATAGAACAAACTAAAAAATTAATCCTAATATGGAGATCTCCGAACAACCCTCGTGATTCCCAGTTGATCACGTTTTCCGATATTTTTGAATTTCTTTCGGGAAATTTGACCATTTACAAGAAAAAAACGAATTTTTTTAGATTAGAATTGCTTTTCTTTTTCAAATATGGAAGTTTTTTTTTTTATAGTGATTATAGTCAAAAAAAAATTAAAGAAAGTTAAAATTTACGATCCAAACCAAATTTATATTAAACCAAATTCATAAAGTCAACCCGATGAAAAAAAAAAAATTGTTATTAACCACTGGAATATATAATTAAAAAAAGAATTAGGAAGACCTTAACTACTTTTGAAGAACAATTTTTTATAGAGATCTCCCCATTTGGAAAAACCTATAATATAACATACTAAATTCCCGTGTAACATAAACTTATTAAAAAATGCATATAACTTATAAAGACGATTACATTTTAGTTAATTTTGGAATAAAATCCTAAAACTCTAATTTTATTTTTTTCCCATAAAATTACATATAAAAATAGTGTTAAATTATAAAATAAATTAAAATTTTCATTTAGCAATTTCCCTTTTTCAATTTTACGAAAATAGCTTTTTTTCAGAGTGAAACGATTAATTTTTAAATATACTTTCCGTCAGAATTATTAACTTACTTTGTGTAATTTTTGTATTTTTGACATTAAATAATTACGGTATTACGGCGATTTAATATATTACGGTATAAACTTCATATGCCGTAATTATATTTCGATAATTTGTTAAATACTTAAATGGTAAAATCCATATTTTGTGATACCGACGGCACCTATAATTTTTAAGTAAATAATCAATTATTTGTTTCAACAATTTAATGTACTCTCGATCATTGACTGTAGAATTCAGGTAACATCGAGAGCATGAAGGACAAAGTGTCTGAAATACTTAAGATGTAACCAGGGGAAACCAAAGTTCTCAGCATTAAAAGAGTTCCGAATCTGGAGATTTTCATTTACGACTGTGTCATAAGTTGAGCCACCTTCTTGATTTTCCACATAGTTTATACTGTATGTTTATCCAAAACGATTTGAATATTATTTTGCTTGTAAGTTAATTTTGCGTTCTTAACAAGCGATTCATAAAAATCCTTTACGTGTTTAGGTTCTATATTCCAAGAGTTTTTGCGATTTAGAAACTTCACCCATAGGCTCTGTAAAAGATGGTTTGAGAATAGTGGTCATTTCCATCAATATATAGTTTTGCCACATAATTTGGAAGTATTTACATCGATATTAGGATTATAATAAACGATATGTCGATACTCTAATTGTGATATACAGTCGACCCCCCTCTATAGTCACCCAGTCAATCACACCATATAGTATTTTTATAATCCCGGGTCGACTGTATATAAATCTTATATTTCTTTCATGAAAAGAAAATTGACATTTTATAAAAAAACTATATACTTGTTTCAGGAAATAATTATGGCTAAAAGGTTTAAATTATATGGTGCAAGCTAGAGATGCAAACTTTACCGACTTCAATAACGTCATTGCAGATGCTCACAGAGAAATTTTTATAATAATTTATATAATATCGAGCTACGTCACGAGTTACAACCTTTCATTGACTTAATGATTGACGTAGCTAAAAAAAAAAGAAAAGAAAAAGTCTGCACCCCTAGTGCAAGCACAGCAATATTCCTGTTAAACGGTAATTTCTTTTTTCCCTTTTTCCCATAGATAAAAAATAGGTTTAACATTAATTATGGTGTGAACAGGATCTTGGGATTGAGTTTATCGTCTTGTCTATGCATTGTTTGATATTACTATAATTATTGTGAGGGTATTCGTATCCAATTAAAGTAATCCATAAAATTTTATTTGGAAAGTCTCGAAATATAAAAATCCAAATTCTGGTCAAAAAAAAAAATTCAAGTATAATCAACACACGAAACATTTTTAAGTATTTTATTATTGATTATTAACTTTGTTTTAAATAAGTTTATTAATTTATATGAACATTGCGGCGGATTTATGAAATTTGTCGAAAACCCTGCTGCGCCCTCGGGAATTATACTTAAACATGTGTTACTAATTTAAGCTTTTTTCCTAAAAAATGTCGCGTCTTTAACACTGGAAAAATTGGTTAATTGGTTAGACGCAAGATTTGGGGTACAAAAAAAATTTTTGGAGCTGTTCAATAATAAATTTGGGACTTAAATAGAAATTTGGTGTCAAATATTTATTTAATTTGACATGACGGACAAATTTTGGGGTATTTCATAAATCCGCCATAGTGATAAACCGCAGCAGCTAACTAATTTTGATTTTCTTAATAATAAAAATTTAAACACATGATTTACACGTACTGTAAATCTGTACAATATTTAATTTGCCGGACTGAAGATGAAATCTTTATAAATCAAATAATAAAAACTAAATATTATAATGTAGATGAAATCACGTATAGTATTTATTTTTTGATGTTAACTCGTTAATGTAGATCAGTAGATATAATATGAACGAGGTAAGAATCGGAAATTTTGACCATAAATCCATAAATACAATACCAAATTGTGACATTTAAATAATAATTAATAAGATACTATATAACTAAAATAAATAACTAATATAAAATTATACTATATCAATAATTTTTAATTTATTTTACATGTTCGTTTTCTATTAAGTTTTTTCAACTTAACGTTAGCATTGGGATATCCTTGCTCTGAAGATTGTGTATACCAAAGAATTGCTTGATCTATGTCTTTGTTAGTTCCAATCCCTTTTTCATACATTTCTCCAAGATCATATTGAGCTATAGCCATGCCGTCTCCTGAATTAGCCGCTTTTCTACATAAATTAAAAGCTTTCTTGGTGTCTTCATCAACGCCTTTTCCATATCTATAACACTGGGAAAGATCATAAGCTGCTAAGTAACTTCCATTACTTTCACCCTTTGTATACCACTCCACAGCAATTGCTTCGTCCTTTTCAACACCTATTCCTTTTTCATAAAAATAACCAAGTCTTGCCTGTCCTATCGCAATATTTTTACTAGCGATTAATTTATAACAATCAAGAGCTAATTGTGGATTTTTTTTAGTTCCATGTCCATGTTGATTACATGCTCCTACATAATATAACGATAATATGTGATCCTGCGTTGAAGCAGTCATGAATAAATAAAATGCTAATTCATAATTCTTATTTTTTACAATTCCAAAATAATTAAAATATCCCAATAAAAATTTATTATCGGAGTTATTTTGATTATTTGATAACCAATTATGAATCTCTTTCTTACTAATGTTATGATCATTAAGATAATCTAGCACATATTTTTTTCTTATGTTTAAACTTTTCCCTTCATTTAATATTTTAAAATAAAGTTTTGTTATATCCTCAACATTCTTACTTAAATCCCTTTCGGTAAATTCTTCTTCTGAAGATCTCGTAGATCTCGTAGATCCAATTTCGATCGTGTTTAATAAACAATCATTACTTGAATGTGTTCTAATTGCATTCGAACTAAATTGTGACGAATCATTTGAAGCAGCCGCTTCATTGAATTTTTCAATTAGCGAAGATAATTTCATATGTAATGAACCAAGTTCCGAAACATCTAAATCTTTTGTAATCATTTTGTTAAACTTTTCCATCAATTGAGCTAATTCTTCTTGTAATGGACTAATTTCTGAAGTGGTAGAATTAAAACTATTACGACGATTATTATTATGTGGTGGTTCATCTGATTGAATATTCGTTTTTAATCTTTTAACTACTTCTTCCATATTTGGCCGTTTACTCGGTTCACTGTCCCAACATTCTAAGAAAATAATGATATTGTTAATATGGAATAACGTTAAATGAATAAAATTTTTTAAAAAATTATTTACCTTCATAAAGTTTAACATAATCAGTTGGTGTATTAGGAACAATTGTTTCTCTTAAACCACCACTAATTTCCATAACTAAATCAATATCATATGGTTCATCTTCTATATAAAAGGGTTTTCGACCGCTTGATATTTCCCATAATAATACTCCAACACTATATACGTCACTTTTTTCATTAGATTTGTGTGTTCCTCGTTTACTAAATTTTTTTGGATCCGTATAGGGAATTACACCAAATACTTTAGATTGAAGTCTAGATGATTCATCAAGCCTTTTTGATAATCCGAAGTCTGCCAATTTAATATCATGTTGATGAACCAATATATTAGAGGAGTTCTATTAAAACAAACGGATTAAGTTAAATAAGAAATTTTTTTTTTTATAATAAAATTAAAAAAAAGAATTTCTTTATAAAAAATTAAATTACCAAATCGTTATGTACAATTCCTTCATCATGCAAACATAAGACAGCACAAGCCAACTGATGAGCCATTTTATACTTATCATTCCAAGTGAGATTTTCAAAATTTTTATCTAGGTAACTTTCAAGAGTTCCTTGGTTAGCATATTCCAATACCAAATGGTAATCTTTCATTTTTTTATCTTCTTTTTTTTTTTTAGAAAAAAATGGAAATGAATATTTTTAAATAACTTGAAAAATCATTTAATAACAAACATCATCATTATACATACCTGAAACGGGCTTCGTGATTCCATGAAATCTGATGATATTATCATGGAAATCAACTTCGCGTTGTAATTTAAGCTACGAAATAAAAATTATAAGAATTGAGCAATTGAGTATTAGGAAATTTGTTACTTTTTTAAGATACCTAGAAACTTTTTTCTTACCTCGTTAACAATCTCCTTTATGGTAATGTTATTTAAATTAAAAAAAGACTTCAAGGCAAAATATTTATCAGAACTTTTAAATTTTGCCTTGAATACTTTTCCAAAACTTCCAGAACCTATTTCTTCAATACAAGTAAATTTATCATACTCATAAAATCTAATATGATTATTTGTTATGGCTTCTTCAATCCAACCGCTAGTTTCAATATTTTCCATTTTATAAAGTAAATTTTTTTTTTTTTTTTTTTTTTTTCGTTAAACCTTACGAAAAGTTCAATGAAAGTTTCTTTTTAGAATATTTATTACCCTTTTTATTTGTCGTACAGGATGTATATTTGTTAATGTCGTCCCCCTATCATTCACCATTTAAAGTAACTACTTATGCACAAATCAGCGTGTGGCGATCATGAGTAGTCATTTCTAATATTTCTAATAATAAGCACCTCAAATTCAATAAAAACATGACAACTATACAAGGACGTATGAAAAAGGCAAAAAAAAAGACTTTTAATATCTTCGAGACATGAGACAGCGAAAGGGAAAGGAAGTAGAAAGGAATACAGATTCATGTCACATGATAATATCGTATTGACTAGTAACATACTGCTTCGACAAATTATTCAAAAAAAAAAAAATCATAAAAAAAGGTGACCCACACGCCCACTTAAATATTTGTTTTGATATTTAAACTGAATAGAGTGTAAGAACTGTGTATATATTAATTTGTTTACAATTTTTACGATTTATAATGGATGTGAACTATATCACTTTCTGCGCCGTGAGTCGTATGAATATATATATTAATATAGCATAATTTTGAATGTGCTGGTAAATAATTTTTTACTCGCTTTCGTTTTATACGTATTATATTCATTCCAATTTTCAAGAATTATTCAGTTTGTAATATGACCACAATCTCAAATAAGCAAATCACGTGCGATGTTTATTTTTTTTAGGATTACAAGCTCAACATAAATTATAAATATATGTAGGCAAGTATCTTTTTACCTTATGAAAGGTTTAATAATAACCGTTCAAAAAATATGTGATTATATTGTATTTGAAATTCAAATGCTCAACGTACATTTATAACTCTCAAAATTTATTTTCGCCTCCTTTAAATTTTTAATTCTTTACACTTTCGTACTATCATAGGATTCATAGCGACATTGTATCCCTATCGGTAGTTTCTTTCTTTTTTTTACGAAAGGTGGGCTCGTATATATAATAGAAGTATACAAACGCTTTTATGTATTAATATGAACTTGTATTACTCAAAACTCAAAAGTAGAATGTTTAATGATAGTTTTTGATTATCTGCGTGTATTCGGAGAATTATAAACACATTTGTTTGTTTTTCAATTAATATGGTAAGTGCTCACTTACGATGTAGAGTTGATTATAATTTGACATAAAGGGAAGTTTATATAAAAAATGATCAGCGAGCATTTGTGTTTGTCACTCATGCATTATCAGTTTATCACAAGTAATCAAATGACCAATTGTTTATCTAAAATTTTTTGAATCGTAAATATAAAATTGGTATGATTCGAGATGAATAAGCATCTCACAAATTGGTGGATGCAACACTCTTTTCGTTTAAGAAGAGGCAGAATTTTGTTTGGAGCTTCTTTACTATCTATTTGTTATTAAAAGGCAAATAATTAACTTTTTAAAACAATCGACGCCTAAACACTTAAAAATGAACTATTGCTTTTATCTTTTATTTGTCACGCTGATACAATAACTTTTTATACAGCATAATGTTGATCAGGGGGTGATGTTTAATTTTAAGTTAAATTCGAATTTTAGAATTAATCTATTACTCCTAATGTAACCATTGTAACCTGCCTTTTTTATATCGATCATCATTTTTTATATTTCAGCCCATCAAGCCACCGGATCTTTCAAAATTTTTATTGGATACAAAAAAAAAACTGATTTTTCTTTCGCGCGAATTTATTAAAAACTTCCCACTCAAGTTCCAAATTTGGTAAAAGAAAAAACTAGAAAGTACAAAAAAATTTGGGGAGGTTTTTGCATCATAAAAATTTTTTGTGATTCAAAAAAAAAAAAGAGAGATTAATCTGATAAAATGAAGAGGTACAAAAATAGACATATAAAGGCCACTTTTTCAGCAAAGAATCAAAAAGATGAGTTGAAAATTTTTTTTTCAAGTTTTCTGTATCACGCGACTTTTCTTACGTCATTTCGCATAAATCTTATCTGGTACCAAATTAAAAATGTACTTTTTCCAATCTTTAGAAGAGGAGATTATGATAAATATTTTTAAATACATTGAACGTCCTATGAATTTGATTTTAACCTGTCAAAAATGGTCAAATGTCGCCAGAAATTCTCGTGCTAAAGCTGAATGGTTGATAACGCAACATGGTAAAATACATGCACTATTCTATGCAGTAGGATTAGGACCTACTTTTGTCAACGTAGATGTATGTGAAGTCTTAATAACGGAAAGAAAAGTTGTCATATCGGAATGTTTTATCAGAAAATTATTAGATCATTTTGGAACACTTGACCAAAAATTAATTGAACTTAAAATGGAACATAATGTCGAACCATTTGAATTTGGTACATCTTCCTGGGCAAGCGATTTACCTTTATCAGTTTTTACTTATTTAATAACCAAAGGATACGATAATGCCAGCAGAGATTTAACTTTAAATTTAGGAGATATGGAATTATTTCATAATTGTAATATTAGTGGTGGACGTGAGAATCAATATTTAAATATAGCAAATTTTCCTTTTATAGAATAACTGATAACCATTTTATATGATTAATAATTTCGCCCCTCCGATCAACATTTGATTTGTAATCATTAATCATTTGTAATCATTTGTAATCATCCGTCATTATATGGAATCCGAGCTAATTCCACGTCGGATCCAATGGGAACCTTGGGCGAAAATTAATAAATGGCTATACAAATTTAAATTTTGGTTCTGTTTAGTGATGAGGTTCTCATGGAATTTGCAGGAATTTATCGGGACCTGTGTAAATTTTACATTAGTAATACTGTACAAATCTCATAAAATTCCGTGTAACTGGTCCTATTTAATTATTTTGGATTGTGTAACGTGGCATGTCTCCGTCAAATTTATTACGTGATATTTGTAATAGCTATTTGTAATTGAACGCCGATCGCAATTGCATTATTAAACTATTTTGATATGTACAAATAAGTACTTAATTTGTACACATGTGATTTAAGGGGCAGCGCAGATCATTTTAAAGCATAAAAATTTATTTTCGCGGAGTTATTTAAACTTAAAACTGAAAATTTTAAAAAATCGCAAAAAAATCAATAATTGCTTAAAATTAGGTAGTTTTTGCAGGTTTTGAAGTCATTAAAAAAAAATCCGTATTTTTTCAATTAATTTTTTTTTTAAAGAATATATTAATACATATGTGAAAGTATGTAAATATAAAATTTGACGCTTCTAGCCGGTACTTTTATAAGGCGAAAAAAAAAGTGGTGCAAATTTATTCAAAATATTGCCAAATTTTGACTAATTGGCAATGTTTAGGAATTTTTTGTAAAATGTCAAGTTTTATATTATTAATATTAAATACTTGAATAAAAAAGATATAATCTCAAGGTTTTTTCGATCGACTTATCTATGAGGGAAACGGAGATTTCACATGTAATTTTGACTTGTTCAATTTATAGATGGATTTTTAAAATTTTGAGTTTTATAAGAATCACATTAAACATTTTGATAAATCTCAAAGTCCTTTCAATAAAAATTTCAAGTGATTTGGTTAAAAATTGATCGATGGGGGAAACGCAGATTTCAAATTTGCGATAATTTTTCTATCCATCACATGCGGATCGGCAATTAATTAATAATAGACTTCTTCATTCGATTTTCATAAAAAAAATGCTATAATGGTAAGTTGCCAATGTTACACAATTTTCATTACGTACATTGATCTCATAATCTCAGTTCTTATTAGACGGTGACATATAAATGGGGAAAAAAAATAGGAATTTTCATACTAATAAAAACAAGTTCGTATGCTACAATAAGTCAGCCTAATACCCTAAACCTAATCCTAACCCTCATCTAACCCTATAAAAATTTTTTTATAAAAATTGATCCCATATCGGAGTTTTCTTGGAATATAAATTAGAAAAATGATCATTTATCGGATTTTCCAAGAAAATTTTTAATATAACTAAGGGGTAAATTAGTACATCCATAATTATTTAATATAAATTTAATTAACGAAGCGGGTTTTTCCTTGCCACATAATAATGTAGAATAATCTTTCGCTAAACAATATACTTTTTTGTAAAGTCGTTCCGGACACGAAAAATTTCGGCATAATATTAACTGAAATTAAAAGTCAGCAAAGTGATGATTAGCTGGAACTTCGTAATATCACATAATTTTGTCAGTTTCACCGACAGATCATTTTGCCAGTGCAAAGCCATTTTTAAGGAAAATTAATCATAAAACTAACATCGAATGTTTTATTATACCCTATAAAAAATGTTTGTCTGATAAATATTCGGAATGGGATCGATTTTCCGAACACTCGCACGTTATTATACAATATTTGTTACAAGATGCAGAGATTGAGAATTTTCGACCACATAAAAAACGTACAATATCATGATAATTGTCCAATAAATGTCAAGTAATGTTCAGAACGGGGTCAATTTTCCGAACAAAAAACCGAACAGCGTTTGGACAACTTTTTTTATAGGGATATAAAAAGCACTATTTTACATAAACATAGTAAACATTTCGCAATTATCCATTTAGAAAGAAATGAAATGATGGTTTATACTATATCTTTCACGTAAAACAATAAATGCTGTGTCCTGTATGTAATAATGAATATTTAAGTCTATGTATATATTAATAATTACTAAATTAGGACATCAATAAAAATTTTACTATTAAACTATAAATGTCATTCTATTTGTTTTTAAGATTAACAACGTATGATTGCAATAATTTTGACCAACCAATTAATTATCGTGGCTTTAAGTAAAATAATTTATGTACAATTAAATCGAGGGACGTAAAATTTTTTTTTCTGATCATTATTAACGTTTATAATGAAAATCCGTTTTGGAAATAATAAATTTGGAGTAACATTACAAATTATGCTATATCTGATTTTTAATTTTTAAATACAGATCATACAGATAATGATTGGCGGATCTAATTTGTAAAAGCGCGTTTTAGTTGTTTCAAGACTTCGATTTCTTTTTTTTTTTTATACTTTTATTTTCATAAGAATTTTTCTATTATATTACGTTATGTCCAAAACTTCTTTAAGACAAAAAAATAGCAAACGTGTTACTGCAAACAATATCGAAACTGATATTAGTAGACCTAACTCCAACAATGCTTTCATTTATATCAAGCCATCTTTCCCTTCGACCTTAACGATTAATGAATTAATTAAAAACTCCAACACAAATAATAAACCAAAATTTCTTCCAAACGCTTTTATTGCATATAGAATGGCGTTAATGAAAGAATATCGTATTAAAAATTGTAAATTACCTCCTATGGGTAAAGTTTCTAAAATCGCCAAAAATTCTTGGAATATGGAACCAAAGAACGTAAAAGATTTTTATGAGTCGCTAGTTAAGGATGCAAAATCAATTTATAAGCAGATTAATATTCAAATTATTTTAGACAAACATATGAATAGTTGTGCTGAAAATAATCAAGAAAGTAACGACATAGAATTTTGCACAGATAAGGAAAATAAAGAACATGCTGAAATTCAACTTGATAATAATAAAATTAATTATCCTAGTGTCGGTTTAACTGACGTTTCCTTAATAAATTCTTCGAATTTTAACCCCTCAAATAACAATAATTTAACACCTATTACATTTAATGATCGAGAATATATCAAAATGTTAGAACAAACAATTGATTATTTACTTAAAGGTTGAGTCGTTTCACGTTGGTTAGTCGAATACATTCGTTTACACGAATTTAGAAATTTATTATTATGAGCATTTCTGATATGTAAAAATACACTATTATATCTTATTTGTCTTCCTGATCGTGAATTCCTTATAAAGTTTACTATATTTCGCAAATATTTCCGCATTTTTTTGTTATTAATCATAGTTTTTACGAGTTTTTTAATTTTTTTTCAATTTCAGTTTTAAACTCTCAATGATTTTTTGTAATGGCACAAGCGGCACTAAACCAAATAAGATAACCTATTGAGAATAAAGAATACCTGCATTGAAAGTCGTATTAAATGATATAGTAAATAAGCAGTTACTGAAATTAAGTTATATTCTTATTTAATAATAAGCGACCCGATTGATTTGCCTGCGTAAAAAATAGTTTATTACGTAGATCTATGTAATAAATTACATACAGTAATACAACTAAAATAGACTTAGAATAAACTTAAAATTTTAAAATATATACTTTTTTTTTCACAATGTTTTTATATTCTCATTTATAATTCGCTGAAAGACATCGCTGTTATATCATGTTATTTATTGGTCGAAAAAAGTCTTTGGAAAAATTTTATTCCCACCAATATTTAATGAGTTTCATGTGAAACTAACTATGAAGAATATCTTGGCAATTATGTAATTTCTCAATAAAGTTTCGTGTTATATTGGTCGAGGAAAGTCTTTAGAAAAATTTTATTCCCACTTGTATTTAATGAGTTTCATATGTACTAACTATGAAGAATATCTTTGTCTTGATACGCAATATATAATTTCTCAATAAAGTTTCGTGTTATATGCATTAATGAGATTTTCTATTTTTTAAAATTTTAACTTTAATTTAATTAATTCGTAGATCGTAATCGAATATACTTTATGATTTCACAAGTAATATAAAAAAAAAAGAGCATTAAATTTGATAGAATATTTATTATGAAACTGCTTTTCAATTAATTAAAATTAGCTAGCTTATTTTTGATTTGAATTTCTGTTACTAACGTACTTTTGGTAACTTATTTATTATACAATAAAGGATATATCTGCAAATTTTCATATATTGCCGATCACTAGTAACGGTAATTGATATTCGGTCAATTTTTTATGCATGAAACGGATATGGATGAGATTGGTTCGTTTCACATTACTTTTACCGACAATCACTTTTTACTGACAAACGTTTTGCCGCCGACAAGATATTTCTCCCGACAAACATTTAATTTCATCAAGTCAGTCATAATATTTAACTGAGTCTATATAATTAAATAGTTTAATTTTTTTTTTAATTCTCCGGTAGCATTAATACTAATAAGTAATAAATTAACTTATTATTGTTTTTAGTAAGATTTTTTTTTTTTAGTTTCTAATAAGTAATAGATAGTTAATAAGTTAATAGATACTTTTTTAGGATTTTTTTTATAACAATAGATAGATTATATTGTAAATATAATTTATATCATTCTCAGATAGTTATAATATTAAATGTAATTTATATTATTATTCACCCATATTTAGATTTTAAATCCCGAAATTCATAATTCCGACATTAATTCCGACACCATATAATAAATATACTAATATGAGTAATATTCATTCTTTGTATGCCATTTATGCTTTTGCTTTCAAACATGTGGCTGATTGTTTCAGGTATACAAGTGGCTTTTTCGGAAATTTACTTACATTTTAGTATAAATCTAATAGAAAATCACTTTTTATTGATCATCTTATATGTAAAAAGCAATTAATTTCGGGATTTTGGCATTCGGAATTTCGTACCAGACCATTAAGGACATTAAAAATATAATTAATTAATTAATTATTTTATTTTATTTTTTTAACAAAAACTTATTATCTAATTTATTATGATATTAATGTAAATGTCGGTGAGAGGATCCTGTCGGCGAAACATTTACCAGTAAAACGGGATTAAGAATCACGTGATTCCGCCAGCGATTTTTTAAACAGTATTGACTGTATACCAACGTATTATAACGGGATGACGGATTATCTGATTACAGCTGATTTCATAATGTACGTGACACTTAACAAATTTTAAAGAACTCGGAATATTCGGTAAAGCTTGATATAAAATAAAAATTATACGCTAATTTTAGAGTATTATTCTGAGAATGGTGGTATAATTTTATCTTATTTTGAACTTCACCGAATATTTCCGACTTCTTTAAATTTTGCCAAGTGTCCCGTACATTATGAAATCAGCTGTAATCCGGATTTATTCGCGACGGATACACCCAGAAAATTATTGAAGACATCCGATTTCTCAATTCTTTTATCCCGAATCCTTTTACCCTGAATGGACAATTTACCGAATTACCCATTTACAGCAAAATTCGAAATATAGTGGACTTGAAAATTTTTATTGTCGGTACTCGGGTTACTCGGCTAGTCGGGTTATTAGAAAAGATATATAACACGTGATATATGATGGCGTAGTATAAAGTATAATAAAGTATAATTGTATATACTATATAATGTAATTATGTTAAATTTAATTAAGGTATACCCGTGTTATTTTCTTTTCCAATAACCCGACTAGCCGAGTAACCCGAGTACCCGACAATCCCGACAATGAAAATTTTCAAGTGTCCATTATATTTCGAATTTTACTGTAAGGGTGCTCATTTCGCCGACAATTATCTCACCGATAGATGTTTCACCGACAATCATTCACCGACAGTAGTGCTTTGATCCAGATAAAAACCGTTATCCGGATAAAATAATTATTTTATCCGGATGAAAATAGTTATTAAAATAAAATTCGGGTTAAAACTGATTATTTTTTAAATTTCAGTACTATGATCACATTGTAGCATTAAGAGCTTTCAAACAAGCTATGAATCATAAAGTTCTGATCATTAGTTCCCGAAATACTTAAAATTATCCGAAACTTACAATCTAAAATCCGGATAAACCGGACTCGGATCGAAGCACTAACCGACAGGATCATTTCACCGACAGTCATTTCACCGACAGTTTTGAAATCCTACCCTAATATAATCCTAACCTAATCCTAACCTTAATTCTTACCTAACCCTAACTTTAATCCTAAATTCCCTTGTCGGCGAAACATTTGTCTTCAAAATGACCCTGTTGGTGAAACGTCTGTCGGTGAGATAATTGTCAGCGAGATGATTGTCAGTGAAATAAATACAGCCTGAATTTAACATAAAACTGTTATTTAAAATTTTGCTAAATAATAATATTGACAGTAAATTTTTTACCGCCTAATCACGTGGCTATTTATAAATTTATTTGATTAAACATTTTTTAATACTACGCACTGGGCGGGACGTGTTTAGACGCATCCCTCCACAGGTTTATTTTTCGAAACCAGGGTGGCGCTGTCAGATTTTGCGGTTTGGTACACGATTTAGTTTAGAATTACTTTAGGCTTACGAATAGTTTGTCCCTGTAATTTGTATCGTGACTTGGAAATTAAAAATAAAAATAAAAATAAAATTTTTAATACTACGCACTATTTATTATAATATATATGTATATATATATATAATTTTTTTTTACTATTTGTTTATATGGAATTACAATCACGTAATTTTATTATTTAAATGCATTGAAAGAATCATCAAAGTATCATTGCAAAATTAAGGTTGCTTTAAATTCATTATTTTGAATAGCATAAACGTTGCTTTAATTTATAAATACATAACCTAATAATTATTATACATACAGTATTTATATACAGAAAAAATTAAAATAATACCAAAAAATAAAATGGATAAATGAGTTCACGTACATGATCCGATGAATTTTGATAATCAGATGTATAAATATCAATTAGTCCCTGAATTATGTCAATATTAACTGTTTTTAATATTTCATAATATAATTTGTATAAAAGAAAATTGGTCGTACGCAATTTTTTTTCTTATCTCCTTCTTCGTGTTTGGATAATATCCATTTGTCTATTATTATTATTTATACGCGTTTCTTTATTGGAATATAACATATAATTACAAATACCTCATGACGGTTAAGTAATCAAGTAAGTGAAATATCGGACAATTGTCGGTCAAATAATTATCGGCGAAATGATTGTCAATTAATTAAACCGAATCCCCTACTGAATACAGATCACCCCGACCTAATCTAGTTATAAAAAAAAGTCCGGTTTTATTAAAAACGGAAAAAATCATTTTTTTTTATTTAAAAATGAACACACTTAATTTTTTCATAAAAAAATCGTCCTTTTTTTTTATTAAAATGAAAAAACTAATTTTTATACTAATTAATAAAATGAAAACACAACTGATTTTTTCATAAAAAAATCGTCCTTTTCTTACTAAAAGTGAAAAACTAATTTTTTTTTATTAATTAAACAAAAAAAAAAATTCTTTTTTATTATTTTTATAAAAATGAAAAACAACCGATTATTTCATAAAAATCGTTCTTTTTAATTAAAAATGAAAACAACTAAAAACAAGTAATTTTTTTAAAAAAAATTATTTAAAACGAAAATCATTTTTTTTTCTTATTTTAGATAACTTTTAATTTGCGATCATATAATTACATAGTCGGAAGCTCCCGTTTTGTTAAACGTTTGTTTGTCATTGTTAAATGAAAGAAAGAATCATGTCGATGAGTCGATCAATAGTGTAATACGTGACACGATCCAATCGATCCATGACCACAATATTGCCCCTGCCCAATACTATATAATACAGTATATGTATAATGAAAATAAATAGCAAAATTGATATTTGCATTTTTTTTGGTCCAGTCCACAAATCGTAAGTACGTATGTGACTGCGATCAATCGGATGTTTGTCATGTTGAAGAATGCGTGATTATTGGTAATTTTTTTCTAATACCCGATTTTCATTCCTTAATACATAATATTTATCCCAAAGTTTCAAATAGTTTGATTTTTACAATAATTTTTTCACATAATTTTTTACTTTTATTTGACGCCACGCCAGATTCTCATTTTTTGCAGATCGTTTGCGGATCACGAATTAATAGATATAATTTTACTAATACAAACTTATATCAAATTTTTTAGTGATGCTTGTGTAGGGATGCCAAAAGTTCGGTTATAACCGATTATAACCGGGTTTTACCGGTTCGGTTACGGTTCGGTTTTAGTCCAAGACCGACCGGTTAACCGTCGGTTTTATATATAAAAAAACCGACAAAAAAACCGATCAGTTAATCATATATTCCAAAAGAAAAAAAATGTCTCTTTTATTAATTTTATTGGGAATACTATTAAAAATTATGATTTTGGTGTTTAT